ATCGCAACTCTAATTCAAACCGTAATCATTTTCTCGCCACACTAATGAAAAGCCGCGATGTTATTTCGCAACTCTAATACAACCCGTAATTAATTTATCGTAACACTAATAAGAAAAATCGCGATTTGCCCAATGGGACGATGGACCGATATATACATCGGCCAAAAAAGCAAACTACTACTACTACTACTGCTACTACTACTACTACAAGTACTAAAATCGAGCATAGTGACAAAGTAGTAACAATAATGACTTCCCATGCTCTGGATGATCCAGAGGATAGGGAGCCATTAGTAGTTGCCCTCTTGAGTGGCAGGTTGCCGGGCCTCTTCAGCTTATAGCCTCTTCTTTCTTCGGGCGCAATGCCCGCTGCAACTTAAATCTAAGCTCGAGACTTCTAAATCCCAAACAAAAAAAAAACTTATAAAGGTAAAATAAAAATATAAACCGCGGAAGCTTAATATAAACCGCTGAAGCTGATTGAAGTGCACATGGACTGACCAACAATCACGGCAGTGATCGTTGCTCACTCGCATGTGCGTGCTCGAGCAATAAACGTTCGTTTCGACCCATTCGCGACCGCGACCGCGAAATTCGAAAGATCGATAGGCAAAACCAGAGACGAGAGCATGCTCTACCCGTGCCAGTTTCACCCTCGATTTTTCAAATTAGATTTCCAGAAACAGGTTGGTCACACGAAAACGCGCCTACCCGACCAGAGACTGTGCCAACCTGCCCGGCCCTACCCACTTATAATTAACAGACATACCACAAATATTTAAAAATGGCAAAACGGGCACACCAACACACTCGCTCCACGGTTCTCACGCAAACGCTCGGGCGCAAAGGTCCTACACTAGAGAGGACGTCCCGGGACGCCTCCGACACCCGAGCTTAACACACAGCATGCATACTCTAAGGTACGTACCATTTTCCTGAAATCGACTGACGAATGCTAGCGACCATTGCGCAAAATGCAATAAAAGTTAATCTCAATTTTAATTGCAAATATTCATAATTCAGAGAGTGTATTTATTTTTCAAAGAAATTGTAGATGGTACGATATGTGGTGCCATTTATTATAATTTAACAATAAAATTAATGACACTAGTATCTCTGATTCCCTGTATTCGATAACGAATCTTTGTTTTTACAGGTTGTGATTGAAATGATATTTTTTTGAATTTATTTTTTATTATTTATATTTGTAGTAAATGGAATAAATACTGAACGACGCAATTCCACAGCCTAACCACACACACTATGTGGAAAGTACGTCGTGCACGATACGCTAACTCATCGTCAGTCGCTTACAAATTATTATAAAATCAATGGTCATCGTACTCATTGCCTTTCTCTCACCCAAGTAGCACCTGAGCACGTGAGTGAGATCCTGGCATTGAATACGGAAGGGGTTAAACCTGAAAATCCTAACTAAAAAACGTATTAGTGCATCTAATTTGTATCTAACGGACTAATCTTTCTTTATTTTGCATTTTCGAACTTTATCTCTATTACTATCACTGTATAGTCTAGGTTATTAATTTTATAATTTACCGAAATACTAATATTGAATTTATTTATAAAAAACAGAATCAATAAATAAGATCAATGCAATATAATGATTCATTCAAATAATTGATTCTACGAACTATTGAAATTTCACTACAAAAGAGACAAATTGACAATGAATAACAAATTTATTTAATAACTCAACTCAAAGTTAGATATTATTACAAACAACCTCAGGCAATTCCTTCGTCAAAGCATATTTTCAAAAGTACAAAAACAATGTTCAAAACTTGCTGCTTTGATTCCAAAATTTGCCTGTCGCGAAATTTCTTCTTGCCCATGAAATTCCATGCATATTTGTACGGCAGGACTGAACTTTACTATCCCTATATGTATATTTTCAATTAATAGTCAAATTAAAAAATGAATGGCAAACAATTAAATCCATCGTAATAGTGCCAGGTGAAATAAAAAAATGACTTATTATCGTTATTATTAAATATGTAATCCGACTTCATCACTACGAAATATTTAATTAAATCATTGCAACTCTCTCTAGATATACATTCTTAATACACTCCAACTTTAAAAGTGATCACAGTGAACATACATGTATATCTTCAATCACAAATATTCAAACTAATTATTAATATAATATCGTTTTTATCAGTTAGTAGTATTATTAATATTGTTAATATAAAATTGTTCAGTATATCATATAATTAACAGAAACAAAAACGCGATATGCAAGAAGACCTATCCTAAACTAATAAATTTAAAAAAAGAATGTTACTACTCACGGGTATAAAAAATACCCGCGGTCACTATGCTCGCAAAAATTTCTACGTAATACAACCAGTCACCCGTGTCGATTCGGACCTTTCGTCCTACGACATGATTGAGTGACCGGAGGGACAAAAATGCATGCGACTCACGATAAGATGCGAGGAACGTAGTCATCGATGCTATGGTAGCCCAGGGAAAGTCGTCGTGAAGACCGTTATCAAGGAGGAGTCATGCAATCCCATCATGGAAAAAACTGTAACAATGCATGGAATATCATAATTTGCTCATATTATATCATATTTTATATTATTACTCATATTATATTATATTTGCTTATATTATATTATAATATAATATGACGTTAATCAATTGGAAAATTTAAAGCAGTGGAGGATTAATGTCTATTAATCTCTATTAAAATTTTAATGACAATATTCAAATTAGAAGTAGCAAATTGAAATATATAGCGATAAAATTAAATAATTTACATATTACTTACATTCTTGACTTTTGAAACACCACTAGGTCCTTTTCAGGAAGCAGGAGGAAGAGGAAGGAGTGATAAACCTTTAACAAAACATATGTCTTCTTATAGATATATAAATAATACATGCGTGAATAATTTATTTTGAAACTTAAGTAATGATTCAACAAAAAATGTTAAATAACATAATATGGAATTCTATGAAAACCTTAAACTTTAATAACAATAGGAAAGTTAAATTATTAGTGAACTTTAATTACTGTAACAACTGAAATTCTGATATTGAAGTATAAAATCAGACTTGCTTTTTTATTGCGAGTAATTATAGCAAAATACAAGGAATAAAATTAATTGGTGTACAATATGCAAAGATTCTTACATGCTTAGTTTTGAAGCATCACTGCGTCCTTCCCAAAGCACAGGAAATAGTAAAAATTATGAAAAACTGAAACAAAACATATGAAATATTATAATTTGTTCTTAAAAATATATCGTTCATTGTTAAAAAAAAGTCTAAGGTAATGAAAAATAAAACTCTATTCAAACTTGAAATATTAATAACAATAAAAATTGAAATTGTGTTAAAATCTAATTACTATACAAATAGATTGTTTTTTAATAACAATTAAATGATTTGTATAATTTGCTATATATTAATATAAAAACATTAATTCATTAATAGTATGTCCGATTATTAACGATAATCTATACACCCGAAACATTTTTATATGTGAACAGTTTCAAATGTGATTTCTTTAACCTCTTTTTGTTTCATCTTGATATTTTCAACAAATTATGCAACTATTTATAAAATGATGTTACTATATGCCAATCGGAAGCTGTATAGCAATTATTTAGCAAATATCGATTACTATCGATCCAATAAAAAGAGAAAATAGTTGTATACGTACCTCTGCTTTGTTATAATACGTCAGTCATTGCTAAATCGGCATAAAAAATCAACGATACGATTTATTAATAATCATCTATGACGTTCATGTTGTTTCAGTTCGAATTATCGATTGTCGATCGCTTATGGCGTCTGTGAGTGTTTTCAGTCGCGTGTCTAGCCAATAATCTACACAAAAGAAAACCAACAATTTCAAATAAATGTACGACAAAACCAACAATTTGCAATAACAGAACAAATTATAGTAAAAGCCGGTAATGTGAATTATCGATAATTTTAACCTAACCCTATCAGAAATACAGTTAAGGATAAATGTACAAAACATCAATAATAAAGCAATTATTGTGAAATAAAGCATAAATAGAAACCAAATTCTACCTCAAAGATCAGTAATAAAAACGATCAGTAACTGCAAACTGTCAAATACGCAGTTAATGACAAAAGTAAAAGAAAAATTTCGCGATACAATATAATTTCACTAAAATTATAATCAATAAACGATTAAATACGAACTTACTATTTGAATTAACCAGGTAGAAGTGCAGAATCGTTGATAAAGTCGAAATAAAGGTACTAAAAAACAGGATAACACTCGACGAGACGAATTTACGCAGCACGACTTTCATGTCACCGCTCGGCTCGGTTGAAACTACGACTTTCCAGCCAATAGGAGCGCTCGATATGACGTCACAATATATTGCGCCAATAGGAACGCTCAATGTCACTTGGCAATATTCTGCGCCAATAGGCACGTTCTATTTGACTTCGGAATATATTCCGCCAATAGGAACGCTCGATTTTCGTAGGCACGAGCGCGCGCAAATTTATCGTATTCAAACAGTGAAATTGATGAAATTGAGAAATAGAGAACATATTTAAAACAATGTTCAGTAACAATTACGGATAAGATTATGTTCTTAATGAAAAGTTTTTATATTACATGAGTATAGCTGCTACTATTAAACAAAATATTGTTTAGTAAGAATATCATTACGGTATATTACTTAATTATTCATACAATTATTAATAACTATTTTTCAATGATTCAAACATTGTAATAAATAGAAAAACAAAATGTTAGCAAATGTTAATGTGACAAAAATGTTAGCAATTTACAATGGTCTTTGAGAATTAATAGCGAAACTATCATGAAAAGAGAAATTTCTTTAATTGAAAATAATTTATTATCATTATTTACTTTGCTATTAATTGATGTATAAATTCTAAAATTTTTATTATTGTGACATGATCTTATATTTGAAAGTAAAACAAACTTGTGCGTGTAAGAATATATTAGATTTATATATTTAATAATTAATTATTGAATAATGGTATGTGCTTATAATTAAGTTATGAAAATTGGTAAAATATTATGATGAATCATCAAAGTAGAAAGTGTGCACGATACACCAATACATCGTCGAGACTCAATCAAGTGCAATAATTGACTCTAAATATATTACTAAGAAAGAAATAATCTCAGGTGATCTCTTTATCAAAGCATATACTCGGAAGTGCAGAGGCAGTGTTCAAAATTATTGCTTTGATTCAAAAATCTGCCTGTCACGAAGTGTCTTCTTGCACGTAAAATTTCACACATTCTTGTACGGAAAAAGGTGAATTTTAGCTCATATTTTAAATTCTAGCCCAAGTGAAATAAACGAACGTGACTTAATATTAGAACATGCTCTCGTCCCTGGTTTTTCCTTTCGATCTACCGAATTTCGCGGTCGCGGTCGTGAGTAAGCTCGAAACGAATGTTTATTGCACGCACATGTTCGCACAACGATGTTAAAAATCTGAGCATAGTGGAAATGTACGTACAACAGATACTCACGGGAAAAACCAATAAGACTAATAATAAAATCAATGAATTAGAAAAAAAGAGCTATAGACAAATATCTTATAATATACCGTGGTATAATCTGCAATTTATTATAAAATAATTGATCCGAGCAGAATCTTTTATAAGAGAAGGTGGCTGAATATGATAGACATTGTCGAATACTAATCGAATATAATCATTTAATTAGTTTTCATAGAAGTGACATGATCTTATATTTGAAAGTAAAACAAACTTGTGCGTGTAAGAATATATTAGATTTATATATTTAATAATTAATTATTGAATAATGGTATGTGCTTATAATTAAGTTATGAAAATTGGTAAAATATTATGATGAATCATCAAAGTAGAAAGTGTGCACGATACACCAATACATCGTCGAGACTCAATCAAGTGCAATAATTGACTCTAACTATATTACTAAGAAAGAAATAATCTCAGGTGATCTCTTTATCAAAGCATATACTCGGAAGTGCAGAGGCAGTGTTCAAAATTATTGCTTTGATTCAAAAATCTGCCTGTCACGAAGTGTCTTCTTGCACGTAAAATTTCACACATTCTTGTACGGAAAAAGGTGAATTTTAGCTCATATTTTAAATTCTAGCCCAAGTGAAATAAACGAACGTGACTTAATATTAGAACATGCTCTCGTCCCTGGTTTTTCCTTTCGATCTACCGAATTTCGCGGTCGCGGTCGTGAGTAAGCTCGAAACGAATGTTTATTGCACGCACATGTTCGCACAACGATGTTAAAAATCTGAGCATAGTGGAAATGTACGTACAACAGATACTCACGGGAAAAACCAATAAGACTAATAATAAAATCAATGAATTAGAAAAAAAGAGCTATAGACAAATATCTTATAATATACCGTGGTATAATCTGCAATTTATTATAAAATAATTGATCCGAGCAGAATCTTTTATAAGAGAAGGTGGCTGAATATGATAGACATTGTCGAATACTAATCGAATATAATCATTTAATTAGTTTTCATAGAATTTGATACTTCTTCAAAGAATGAATAAGTCTCTCGCTAATAGTCTAATAGATCCGTTGATATATCAAACGAAGAAATACCTAACCGCGATTACAGCCAATTAGTTCATATTATTCGCTACATAATTAATAACTGTATCACGTACAGCGATGCAGGTGGTATTGAAATAAATAGCCATATTATGTTACAACTATAACGAATAAATTTACTCGTTTAACTTGAGAGCAATGAAAAAGGTACCTGACTTTTAAATAAGCATTAAATATGAATTTTAAATATCGCAGACAGTGATGTAGGTGTTATTCAAGAAAAAAAACATTTTATTTTGTAATTAGCACAAGTAAATGAACGAATATCGATAATATAATATAACGATTAATAAGAATTTTACCTGGCTGATTATTTAAACACCTTAACTTATTTCACAGTAACGTCATCGACTGCTGTTAGGCTTTTTTCCCCTTTTTATTGAAACTAATTGATAGTCGAAAACTAGTATGAAGGAGGTGTGAATTTAATCTTAGTTTGCAGAAACTATTAAACTGATAAAAATGAATGTCGTATTAAAATGTTAAAGATGCCAATTTGCGATAAAAATTAAGAAATTGTTCAATTTGATTTTGTTATAATGGAAAAACCGTCCTTTGCTATGTCAAAAAATCGTTACGTAATTCGCAACTCTAAAGCAAACGCGATTATCATTTTATCGCAACTGTAATTCAAACCGTAATCATTTTCTCGCCACACTAATGAAAAGCCGCGATATTATTTCGCAACTCTAATACAAACCGTAATTAATTTATCGCAACATTAATAAGAAAAATTGCGTGTGGGTGTTGACATATCGCAGTGCAACCGTTTAGGAGGTTGCCGATGAACGATCACACTTGTACAACTCTTGCAGC